AAGCCTGAGAAGGGGATATTCCGCGGCGGGGGGGGGGGGTCCAAATGCTTGCAGAAGGTGGGACAAAGACAACAGGTGTGGGTTAGCACTGTCATCTCATTCCCCCTGGAATCTAGCAGCCCTTCAGCTAAATATAAATCCTTGAGTCTGATAAAAATTCTCCTCACTGTAAAAGAAAAGATCTATGGGCCACTTATTTGTGCCTAGAGCACAAAGTGGGCACATATCTCAAGGAACAGTGAACCTGCTAATCAAATCTTCACTCACATGCAGGCATAAAAGGTGGAAATTTCTTCATAAAAGAGTTTTCCTAGACACCATGGATAGAAAGGCCTTTGGGACATAGGACCGAATTTCAACAACCTCCCATGTTTTCCCCGGCTTTGGTGATGCAAATCAACAAAGGGTGGGGTTCTCCCTCTTGAGAGGAGACCATTCAGGCACTAGTCTGGCCACCTTTTGAGGGAAGTTTAAATAGCACTTAGCCAGAGTGGGTTCAGCAATTGTGACTTACAACCAGTCTCTAGTCTGGTCCCACCATAAGACCATGATGGAACCACAGAATGAGCCTACTCAGACCCTGTAACCTTATGGATCTCCAGCTGTAAGATCACAACTTCAAGCCCAAAGTGTGAACAAATTGGGTTTCTTAGACATTAATACACACACACACACACGTTATTCAATCATTTCCTCCCTCTTTTGGAAAATCCCTGCATCTTCTGACCTCTCCAGCCCCATAATCCACACTCTCCTGGAGCTTAGGGCAGCATTTCTCCATTCTGAACTCTCCTGGAGGGAGTTCTCTGCAAGTGCTCCACACTTTCTGAAGCTTATTCCAGCTGCTCTTCCTATTGAGAGGCAATCAGCCTCTCCTTCTGTCCCATGGATAGGACTGGGTCCTGTTGTCTTACCTCTTTTCCCATAACCAGTCTTCTTTGGTTCCTGATGAGCTGGTCTGTCCCTCCTTTTGGGTCTTGCTAGGGTCCAGCTGTCCAGGGAGAGCAAAGTGCTGATTCCTCAGGGACCTGGAATACTATCAGGAGTACATCTCATTTTTAAGAGCCTCACATCCTTCTCCCTAGTTGTAGCCAGAGCCCTGCTTCAGTGGCACAAAGAACTGATATGCTTGAGCTCATGCTGTGAAGACACGCATCTCAAATCTCACTGGGGCCTCCAAATGTTATAGAAAAATTCTTGGAACAGCTAAGAGATCATGCATTCACCCAGGAGAGAGTTGGAAAACTTGCTTATTCTTTCTCATGCATAAGGTCTCAGAATTAGCAATTAAGGCTTTTAGATTTTTCTGGGCCCCCAAAATTAAATAGACATTTTTACATCATATTTTATGGCTGGCACCTGGGACCTATGTTTATTTTCATGATAAGCCATGTTATCACAGGAAAATTCCTTCCTGAGTTCACTTAGTCATCATAGTTTTTAAAGTTGATATTCCAGGCATGGGTTGGGACATCTGCCACCTTTTGATCTATAACTAACCCAGACTAATTGGGCTAGGAATCAGTCAAACAGTCATTGCAGTTTACAAAAGCAGACATCACCAGCAGAAAGTTAGATATCTGTCACATTTGAGCTACACTTTTCTTGGCTTAATTAAACCAGGTGTCTCATTAAACTATTCGGTGAACTTTCTATGCTCTTAATTTCACATCCTTATCAGCATTTAGATATAGCTAGTAGAAAGCATCACAGAGCTTCAAGATATTGCAGAATAATAAACATCTCAGGGTAGTGACAATACCACAGAGCAATAAAACATCACTGAGTAGTAAAGCATCCCAGGGTTACATTTCAAGGTATCTACCTAGTCAGTGAAACAAAAGGGAACTACAAAATAGTCTAAGTGTGAAAGAAGATTGTATAAGAATACAGAAAGCTATTATAAGAATGTAACTTTTCTTATCACTTAAGCATGAAATTCATAGATGAAGACATTGTGTGCAGTGTCAAAAGGTGGAGCCAGGAGTGGTAGTGCATGCCTTTAACCCCAGCATTCAGGAGGCAGAGGCAGGCAAATTTCTGGAATTTGAGACCAGCCTGGTCTATGTAGCCAGCTGGGGCTCCGTAGTGGACCCTGTCTCTTAAAAAAAAAATAGGTTGGAAACACCTATTTTTGGTGTTGGTTCGGTTGTAAGGTATTCAGTCAACTCAGAATTAAATGCGCTGTTGGATAGACAGAGAGGGAACAGGAAGGGGGCAGGCCTCAAGTCCTACCTCTAGTAACCTCCTTCCTCCACAGCCTTCCCATAGTTCCACCAGTTGAGGAAGATGTGTTCAAACACATGAGCCTATGAGGGGTCATTTCACGTTCACATCATAACACCTATGGTAGCCCCCAGGTCAGCTTTCTTTCCATGCTAAAGACTCAAGGTCTTCCTCTCTTCTTTAAGCTTAAAAGATTTCTCTTAGCTTACAAGATTCCCAAATCTTTCCAAACATTGCATCAGGGCAGTCAGTATTCTCAAGAGCAGAAGGATCCTGATAGTGTGAAGGCTCTGGACTGTTTTCCAAAGCCTGCTGATAGATAGTCCCTCTGTGAGCTTTCCAGCCTCTGCTTCTTTGCTTTCAGCTGCCACAGGAAGATCTAGATGTCCTGTTCTCAAACATGGATGACATCATCCAAGTGAGCAGCAGATTCCTTCATGGTCTTCAGGAGATGGCTTCCATGGAAGAGGAGCAAGCACACTTAATTGGTAAGCAAAAGACCCAGGTGCTTGTTGGCCTTGGTTTTCCATGCCATTGTTCTCAGTGTGTGTTCACTGCAGAACTGTTTCCAGGGTTCCAAGGAAAAGCATCTCAGGGAGAGTGTGAGGTTCCTCGGAGGGAAGCAGGCAGCAGGGCCCTTATACAGTGTCTGGACCTCATGGCCTACTCACTGTTCTCAGGCTGGAGCATTGGAGATTAAGCTTCTAACACATGAACTTGGGGGCACATATTGAAAGCATAGTGCCTCCTAGTTTAGGCTCAATACAGAAACATTTTTTTCATTAATAGATTTTTTTTTAAGTGTGCTGTTAGGTTTATAGAAAAACCACCATGGTCTGAAGAGTCAGAATAATCCAGAAGGTATTTTCAATGAAGCAGTACTACCCCCTAGAGTCTCTCATCTCTAGAGTGCCACCCTGTTCCTTCATTCTTCCCACCCTCTTCCACCCACTCCCCATAAGTAACCAGGTTCACACTAAAAGATCTAGAACACACCAGGAACTTGCACAGGGTCTGTGCTTATCTTCTTATGTTGTAGTGTTAATGCACCCGCTGTTGAAATTAAGCCAAAATCAGATCATGGCACCCCTGCTTAAACTGCTTCCTGCCACCCTGGAATAAAATCTGAGTGGCTGGCTGCACCCCACTTCATCTGAAGTCCTGTGAAACCTGACTTCTGCCGCCCATTTGTTTCCTCTACTTGATGCCTGGCTCACTCTGCTGCGGCCACACATGCTGCTGGGCTTGTCTTCAGGCCAGGACTTTCCTCCCTCTGAACATTTGCTGGTCACACTCTTGAGAGCTGTACATGCTCTGTCTGAGCTTCCCAGAGCTGGCTACTTCTGGTCTCTGGCAGATCTTCACATTATCTGTGGAGGCCTTCCTCAAATAGATGCCCCCAATCTCTGCATCTTTATTTGGCCTTGCTCTGACTTCTGTGATAGTCATTCCTTGATATCAGCAGGTGATGGGTTCCAGGAAATGCCCCCTCCACCTTAGATACCTAAATCTGCCAGATGCTCAAGTACGTCTCTTGAATAAAATGGCATAGTATTAGCATAAGACTTACGGCAATTCTCCTGTATACTTTAAATTACCTCTAGACTACTTACAATATTTAGTACAACGTAATTGACATATAGAAGGTTGTTATACTGTGCTGTTTAGGGAATGATGACAATAAAAGTCTGTATAAGCTCAATATAGTTTTTAAAAAATGTTAGCCGGGTGTAGTGGTGCACACCTTTAATCCCAGCACTCAGGAGGCAGAGGCAGGCGGATCTCTGTGAGTTCAAGGCCAGCCTGGTTTACATAGCAGATAGACTGCAAAACTTTTAAAAAAAAAAAAAAAAAAAAAAAAAAGACAAATGTTTGACCCAAATGTAATTGACAGAAGAAGAGTAAATTCAAATAAATGATGAAAATGGATTTTAAAAAAGAAGGGGCATGAAGATTTCTAAAGTCCCATTAACATGAGAATGTTCAACCTGCTGATCATCAGGAACTACAACAGACCAAGGTGAAGAAGTCTCTCAAAGATGGTGACACATGCCTGTAACCTCAGCATTCAGGAGGTTGAGGCAGGAAGATCAAAAGTAGGAGATTCGGGCCAGCCAGATGGCTCAGCTGGTAAAGGCACTTGAAACCCACCCACCCCTCCCCCGGTCATCATACACATGCAATTAAAAAAAGAATTTGAGACCAGCTTGGGTCTGATTGGAGTCAGAGTAGTGGGCCATCTTGTTCAAGCCTTGGCCTCAGGGCGGTGGTCCATCTTGAAATGTTTCTCCAGCTTGAAATGCAGATCTTTGCTGTAGATCTTCTCATGGGATTCAGGGACAAAGAGCCCAGGAAATCACTAGCTTCTCATGTCTTGGTTCCTGCTCTGTCCTGGTGTTCAAGGCTCCTGTCATGGGACTTGCACATGCTTTTTTTGATTGTTTTTAATCCCCTGTTGGTTGAATCTGCATATACAGAACCCATAATCCATGGATAGGGAGGGCTGGGTTTATTTATGATCTGTCTTCCCCACTTAGACTTTAAACCCCATAACACAGGGCCATTGTTTTGTCCTCAGAGCCTAGCAGAGTATCTGGCACATAGTAAATAAGCAGTTAGCAAATATTTAATAAGTGAAATTTGTGTCAGATACTTTATATACATTATGTTATTTAATACTCGCTTGCTATGCTGTGTGTCCTTGTAAACTGGTGTCTTGGATGGATTTTTCACACTTCATTGGAAGGACAAAATGAGCTAATGGTAGCTCTGAGGCTGGAAGATTGTGAGTTCAAGGCCAGCCTGGGCTGTATGAGACCTTGTCTCAAAGCAAACAAACACTGTAATTGTTACAAGTGTGCTTTATTTATTACTATTATTTTTATTTTATGTGTATGAGTGTATTGCCTGCATGTAGGTAGATGCATCATCCATGTTGGGCAATGCCCACAGAGGTCAGAAGAGGATGTCAGATTCCCTGGAACTGTAGTTACAGACAGTTGTTAGCCATGTTCCACCATGTGGGTACTGGAACTCGAACCCAGGTCCCCTGCAAGAGCAGCCAGTGCTCTTAACCAGTGAGCCATCTCTCCCGCCCAAAAGTGTGCTTTAAAGCTATGAAACACTGTGTGAATGTAAGGCATCTTCAACATTCTTCAGAGTTGGTTGATATTTTGATTTTATAATCACCAGTGCTGAGAACCCCATGTTGCATAAATATGTAGCACAAAATGGCAAAAGTATGTAGGGTCATTTAAAAAGTTATTGGGGGGTGTGGTGGCACACGCCTGTAGTCCCAGCACTTGGGAGGCAGAGGCAGGTGGATCTCTATGAGTTCAAGACCAGCCTGATCTACATAGTGAGTTCCAGGACAGCTGGGGCTACAGGGAGACCCTGCCTCAAAAAGACCAAAAACAAAAAAACAAAAACAAAAACAACAACAACCAAAAAAAGTTATTGGAAATTCAAAGCCAAAATTCATTGATAATGTTTTCTAAGTTAAAATTCATTTGACAGTATTTTTTTGACAGTTTTTTTCTTTTTGGTCTTTTTGAGACAGGGTTTCCCTGTAGCCCCAGCTGGCCTTGAACTCACAGAGATCTGCCAGCCTCTGCCTCCCAAGTGCTGGGATTAAAGGGGTGCACTACCACACCGGGCCAAAAGTTTTATTATTATTATTTTATTATTACTATTATTATTATTATTATTATTATTATTAAAATGAAATTCAAGTCAGCAAGTGAAGCAGCAATTTTTATCTTTATTTTTTGTTTATTCATGTGCGTATCTGTGTGAGTGTATGCCTCTGTGCTCAGATACATGAGGAGGTCAGAAAAGGGTGCTGAATCCCCTGGAACTGGAGCTATAGGTGGTTGTGAACAGTCCACCGTGGGTGCTAGGAATTGAACTTAAGTTGTGTACAAGAGCAACAAGTGTTCTTACCTGCTGAGCCATCTCTCCAGCCCCCTCAAGCATCGATTTTTAAAATCAGATGTTCTAATGCAATGTAATTCAAAGGCACACTAATTTGATACATGAGGAATGACAGTAGAAAAATGTCAAAAGTCCTTGTTTTCCATAACTAAACCAGTTCCTGTAAAAGCAGAAAACTGTATGTACCGAAAAAACTGCAGTTCCCATCATACAACAGCCTCAAAGCTGTCAAGGCAGTTCAGGCTGCACTTGTCGGAGTTGTGGCTTCATGCGCATACAGAGCAAAGTGCACATGTGTGTTTGAACCAAGGATGAAGCAAAGTGCAGCAGTGGAGCACAGGCAAGAGCTGCCAGCATCACCTCCATCATCATGAGCTGGTTTCGAATTAATCTGGAGTCACCGTGTGTTCAGAAACCTTTTATTCTTTTTTAAAATTTTTTGATCTTTTTGAGACAGGGTCTCCTTGTATCCCCAGCTGGCCTGGAACTCAGGCTGACCTGTCTGCCTCCCAAGTGCTGGGATTAAAGCCTATGCCACCATGCCTGGCAGAAACCTTTTACTCTTGTTGAACTTTTTATGACCCCACATTCAGTTATGCAGCCCCATTTGGGGCTCAACCTGGAGAAATGGCTCAGTGGTTAACAGCACTCTTGCAGAGGACCCTGGTTCGATTCCCAGCACCAACATAGTGGTTAAAACCGTCTGTAACTCCAGTTCCAGGGGATCTGACACCCTCTTCTCACCTCCATGGGCATTGCATAGTATGAGTGCACTTACATACATACACTCATAACCATAAAATATTTTGAAAAATGTAAAAACTGGGGCTGGAGAGATGGCTCAGCAGTTACGAACACTAACTGTTCTTGTAGAAGACCCAGGTTCGAATCCTAGCACCCACATGGCAGCTAATAACTGTCCGTAACTCCAGTTCCAAGGGATCCAACAGCCTCTTTTGTCCTCTGCGGGCATTGCATGACAAGGGCGCACTTACTTATATGCAAGCAATACACATACACATAAAAATAATAAAAAAAATACATATTTTTTAAAAATGTAAAAACAAGAAAGAAACTGGGATCTGCACCATTCTATCATTCAGCCATTCAGCAACCGTAGGAAACAGATGAAAGACAGAAACAAGAAGCCTAGGTAACTGCCCACGGTGACATGCTGGGAAAGCTTGGCTGCTCACAGAAGAGTGGCTCCACCACCCTGTGCCAACCAAGGGGACATGAACGTGCGCCCCTGATAACTCTTTCTTTCACCATAAGGTAACTTATTCCTGGAATTCCAAGAGGAGTTTGAACGAGTCTATAAGGTCTACTGTGCCAACTACGACCAGGCTCTGCTGCTGGTCAAGGCATACAGGAAGGAGCCAGAACTACAGCAGGAGATCCAGGGCATCATCGAAGCAGCGGTGTGAGTAGCATTTCTTCTCAGCCCTCATTCCTGCCCCACCAGCCTAGCCTCAGAGCACTTCTGGTCTCAGGCTTGCTCAGGCTGTGCCAGCAGCAAAGTTTTTGTCAGTCAGGAGAGGCCAAGCCTCACTGCCAAGACAAGTAGCTCTCACATCTCAATGGTTTCAAACAAGGCTCTGCATCTTCCTGACCCTCCCTGCGCTTCCCACTTCATTTTAGGTTTCTATTCGTAGTGCCTTTTGCATATACAAGCAATTACAAATAAATAATCTCATTTCCTTAGCTTTTATTTTTTAATTTAATTAAAAAATTTTTAATCTATTTTTTTTTATGCGTGTGAGCATTTTGCCTGCATGTACGCAGCCAGTGCTCTTAACCACTGAGCCATTTCTACAGTCCCAGGTGTTTTCTTAACTTCTAAATTAAAGCTTGTTCTTTTTATTTTTAAAAAATGTTTTGTATATGAGTGTTTTGCCTGCATGTATGTAGGTGCACAATGTGTGTACAATGTCTGTGGAGGCCGGAAGAGGGTGTTGGATCCTCTGGAACTGGAGTTATGGCTGGTTGTAAGCCATCACGTGGGTGGTGAGAACTGAACCCAGGTCCTTTGCAAGAGCAGCTAGTGCTCTTAACTGCTGAGCCATGTCTCCAGCCCCAGCTTGTATCCTTTTAAAGCTCATTTACATCTATCTCCTTACTGGAGGTCTTTCAATTTCAACACATACCATTCATGATCCTTTGACCCTCAGTCAGCATGCTCTTTCATCAGGTGGCAAGATCAATTTGTTTAACTGCTGTTTGTGGGGAGACATTTGGTTTGTTTCTATTCTATATTACAGGCAAGGCCACAGTGTTTAGGCAGGAACTTCAGTCATTTTCCTCTCCTGCAAAGTATATTTTCAGAAGTGCTAGACCAAAATACGTATGGATAATTTCTGATAAATGGTAAAATTTCCCCTGTAAAGGCATGTCAGTTTGCATTCCTGTCAGCAGCAGAGTGCCCTTTCCCCAAGCCTCTGCAACACGGTGTGCTGCCAAACTAGGATGTGTGTACTGGCCGAAGTGAAAATGGGGTTTCAGGTGGCCATCTTTCTGGACACTTAGAGTTTTGCTTGATCTTTTTGTGTGAATTGTTCTGGTTCCTTTAATATATCAAAAAGGGCTATGTTGGGGCTGGAAAGATGGCTCAGTGGTTAAGAGTTCATACTGCTCTTCCTGAGAACATGAGTTCAGTTCTCAGCACCCATGTTGGGCTCATAACCACCTATCTCCAGCTACAGGGGATCTGGCCTCTTCTGTCCTCTACCAGCACCTGCATTCATGGGCATATACCCACACACTGATGCACCCATATACGCATAATTGAAAAAAATTTTTAAGCAAACAAAACCAAATGAACAGGTACGAGGACACTTGTAATCTCAGTACTCAGGAGGCCAAGGTAGGAGCAGCTGATTGGATCAGTGGGTAAAGGTGCTTGCTACCAAGCCTTACCAACCTGAGTTTGATGCCTGGAACCCCCATGGTGGAAGGAGAGAACTAACTTCTGCAAGTGATCTTCTGGTCTCCACATGCTCTCTGTGGTATACCTCACCTCCTCCCAAAATAAATAAATAAATGTAATAATTTTTTAAAAAGCCAAGGTAGGAAGATTGCTGTGAGTTCAAGGCCAACCTGGACTACATAGCAAGACCAAATCTCGGAACAACAAAACCCGAGACAGAATAAAACAAAGAGGGTTATCTCCTTTTCTGGATAAGCTGCCAGAAGGACAAAGCTGAAGGTCACTTTTTGGAAACTGGAGTGTAGGGTGATGCAGCAAGTCACTATTTTTATCTTACTCAGGTGCTCTTTTTAGTCCTGAGAGATACAGTGTAGAAACAAGTGTTTGCAGATGAGTCTTCTGTACAAAAACTTCTGTCACCCTCCTCCTCTCACTTATCTTCTCTCATTTCTCAACCTCCGACTTTCCATAGAAGTCTCCTTTTCAGGTATCCATGTCCTAGATCCTGCTCTCTCAAAAAGGTATACTTATCCCCCAAGATCTAAAAAATTTAGGCTTTTTCAGGAGTTGTTAGATGTATTTCTGTAGGAGTGGGGCAGATTCCAGGACCAGGGAAATGCAATGCCCAATGCAGGGCAAAGGGGAGTAATGGAAACTGTGGTAAAAAGAAGACAACAGAGCTGGGCGAGGTAGCACATGCCTTTAATCCCAGCACTTGGGAGGAAGAGGCAGGTGGATCTCTGCAAGATTGGGGCCAGCCTGGGCTACGTGGTGAGTTCCAGGCCAGCTGAGGCTACAGGTAGAGCACTGGTAGTATGGCCTTAGGGGATTGTTGCTCTTAGTAGCCTTTGCTAGATAACAAACCACCCCTAAACAGTGGCTTAAAAACCATCCTTTAGTGGGGCAGTGAGATGGTTCAGTGGGTAAAGACGCTTGCCACAAAGCTTGACTTTCTGAGTTCAGTTCCCCAGGACCCACATGGTGGAAGGAGATAACAGACTCCTGAAAGTTTAAATGCATGTGGTGTGGTATGCACGCACTCACATATACATACTCACAAATAAATAAATAAATGTGAAAAAACCCCACATTTAATTAGCTCACACATCTGTGTATTATAAATTTAGTTGGGCTCAGCAAATGAGTCTTCTGGTCCTGGCTGTGTATTCCCGTGTATCTGCAGTTCGCTGCACGTCAGCTTTGCAGATCTTGTCCAGCTCTTTCACGCTGTATGTGAGACACAGGAGCCAACTCAGCTCTGGTCACATGGCCTCTCTGCTTCCTATAGCTGGTTTGTTCACCTGATGGTCACAGACTTTCAGCACCACAGGAAGGGCAAGGCCAGCCCAGACTCCAGGGCTAGGGAACAAACAGGCAGCTCTTCTTGTTGGGCTGGGTTTCAGAGTCATGGGATTGCGGGGAGGGGAGCAGTTGAAGCCAGTTCTTGTCTGTGTGGCCACATTAGAATGTGAGTTCCCACTGGTCAGAGCCTCTGATTTTTCAGGGACGCAGAAACTGGATGAAACGTCTCCCACGTGTTCGGTCGTGTTAGAAGCACTAGCTAGCTGGCGCTGAGGCTGCTTTTGTCCTGTTTCCTGCAGCTGTGCTACATCGTGGCAGATCTGGCTCCTGGCCCTTCCAGTGAGAGCCATTTCACATCTCCAACCCAGTTTACTTATGGGTCAGATGGGAGTCATGACAGCACCTGGTGAAGTGTTACACACACAGCACACAAGGGACGCTAACTAAGTGCCAGCTATTCCAGTCATCTCAACCAGTCAGGAACTGTGTCACTGCTCAGCCCCATCATACCCAAGGCTTCCTTTTATAACAAATATTAAAGACATTTGTTATCCTGAAATAAATCCTGAAAAATCTAACCTACCTACATATGTAACTGGAAAAATCAATATAATGATAACTATAATGCAAAGGAGAAAGAAAAGGAAAATATCTTCTCTTGTAAATTTCAGTGTCTACCCAGGCATCACAACCCCAAAAGTTAAAACAAGCATTCTAAGGCTTGCCTCCACGTGCAGTAAATAAGCTTGGAGGTTAGGAAGAGCCAGAGGCCATTCTGTGTAAGAAGTCCTCTTTGAGAACACGGAGGAACAGAGGGTGTGTGCACCCAAGAATAGCAACTTGCAGTGAAAGCAGCCTGACTTCCTAGTGTGTGAAAAGCTAAAATGGAAAGGAATGTGACTCATTGCCCACCAGGGAGGCAGAGGAAGTGGTTAAATCCTTGCAAAGGGCCGGAGTCTTACATATAAAAGGCAGTGTCAGTCAGGCCCAGCATCTTGCCTTGTGACCGGATAAAAAGTCACAATGTATTTTGGCTCAAAATATATCGTGGTACATTTTGAGGCCCTGGTTCAGACTCTGAGTGCTGGGCGGGGGGGGGGGGGGGGGGGGGAGGAGATGGGCGGAGCTCAGGGCCCGGGGGCGGAGCTGCCGTCTCAGCCTCCTGGGTGGCTCGCCCTGAGCTTGCAATCCCTTCTGCTGTTCTGGAACTGAGGCACTGAACTTTGAGAGCTGGTAGTAGTGCTAGCCATTTTGTCTTTAGCATTTTGTCTTTAGGACATAGGGACTAAGGCCAGAGCGCTCCCTGTGAGGCAGGTTTGTCTCGCAGGTCTGAGGCTTCTGTAACTCTCAAACAGGGGATTGAATGGGATCTAATTCATTTCTGTAGACACTTTAGACCTTTGCTTAGAGACCAACCCCATCCACTAATGCCAAGGAATCATGTGCATGCACTCTACTCCTGTGTGCTCACATAGGTCAAACATTTGCACGCTTATCACTCTGAGAAAATAAGAGTATGCTTCTGTAAAGTAGTAGATATAATCACCAAAAAGTAAGGAACCGAAATTGGGAAGTGAAAGCTTCTTTCCAAAACTTAACAGGTTTTGGATCATATTGTGAAAATATGTCTATATTGTTTCGTCTAAAATGTTCTGGTGTTGATTCGGGTGCCTGTGTTTTCCGTGTGGCTGCGCGGGGGGGGGGGGGGGGGTTGTGGGAATGTGGTGGGGGACATGTGAGACCTGGAGTTATTCTCAGGAGTGCAGGTCTATGTTCAGGAAATCACTGTACCTGGTCTCCACCGTGGAATGCCTGTATCCCCCAGGGCCTGCAGGTTTCCAGAATGCCTGCTGTGAGAACGACTGTCAGGGTGACTGCTGATCTTGCAGCCTGTGACCTTGGCCTTCATGTGCTTCTGACAATGGATACTTCATTGAATGTGATCTACTAGAATCACCACAGCACCATAAACTGTCCTTTCCCAGCTGTCACTGTAGATGGTACCTCTGGATTCTTTGTGGTTCCAGAATGAATGCTGCCCCAGCTTTATTTGTGTGGGTGAGCTCAAGAGTGTTCAGTGTAGCCTGCTAAGACTGTACTTCCCCTGAAAGCCATTGGGAGCAAAGATTAGCAGGGGCAGGAAACCCTGTAGGGAGGACCTTTCACAGCATTGGATGGGAAAGGAGACTTGGCAGACGTATATCAGTCCTGGAACCCGAAGTTCCAGGAGGCTGCCTGGGGCAGCAGTGCTTGGAGAATGCAAATACCTCTCTGTTTTCCTTTATCAGTTAATTGTGTTTGTTTTAAATATAAATGCAATATTCAACATTCTCCTTGGCCTTCCAGGGAGTTACCATTCTCTACTCAATTTTCTTCTGTGTAATTATAGACAGATTGACACATACATAGATAAAGAGGTGGGCAGTTGTTTTTTTAAAAATTTCTATTTTATGTGTATGAGTGTATTGCCTACAGGTATCTAAGTGCATCACATGTGTGCGATGACCAAGGAGGATAGAAGGCATTGGATCCCCTGGAAATAGAGTTACAGATGGTTAGCTGCCATGTGGGTACTGGGAACCAACCCTGGGTCCTCTGCAAGAGCAGCCAGTGTTCTTATTGCTGAACCATCTCTCCAACCTCCCTGCCTCCTTTTTTAAGGGACTCCTAGTTCACATGCTATTCTAGACCTTTCACTTAATCATGTGAATGTGTTCTCAGGACTGTGATCAGTACTTCTGCTCCCTTCAGTGCTGTGCAGAGCTTACTCCAGGATAGCTCTCAGACTCTGCCTCACAATCTTTTTTTTTTTTTTTTTTTTTTTTTTTTTTTTTGATAGCGTTTTCACAAATAACTTACCTTTCCCTTTGTGTGCTGGAGTCAAGATTTCTGTGGGTAAATGTCTAGACTGGGGTTGGTGGGGCAAAGTTACCCAACCATTCTCCACAATCTCACCCTGTGGCACTCCCATGGGGATGTTCGAAGCCCTCTTCTGTCACACTCTCCCAGCTGTGCCCGTTATCTCCCCATTCTTGTTACCTATTTGAGAAAGCTACATAAATATTTTCTCCAAACTACTTCAGAAAGGCTACAGGCTCCATCACTCTGCAGTGACTCCTTGATGGCTGTGAAAGATGTGGTCATCTCTTTAAGGACCTCTTGGCCTCTGATTTTGTGGAGACAGTTTTCCCTGGGAGGCACCTGGTTCTTTCCATGGACCATCAGCCCAAGGGATGGAGTTTTGCAAATATCTGCCCACTGTTTCTACCTCCACTGCCCAGTTATCTGAGCTCAGAACACCCTTGGGGAAAGCATATGGACAGTGCAGACATGCCCTGATGGCATTCCACCTGCGGCCACCATGAGTGCCCACATGATCTGTGTATTCTTAGCCTCTGGGCTGATTTTTTTCTGGACATTTGGTCTGAAGCATTTTCCTTAAGATGAATAGGAGTAAAGGACCTCATTATGGAGGGGCCGTGGGCTGGTGACCAGCAGCATTTGTGTGTCTTCTTGGAGGAAGCAAACTTGGACAGTTGAGGGCTGAAATTCTGTGGGCTTCTGAGTGCCTCATAATAACCAAGGAAGACCTGCAGGAGCCTCTTCCTGGTTGTTCTTGACCTGGGGGGAATCCTGATGAAATCCCACACATTTGTCAGTAGGATAGGGATGCTTATCTGACATCAGCAGAGCAGATCTCAGTACCATTCCTCACTGGCCCTCAAAAATTCTTTTTAAAAAATTTATTTTTATTTTATGTGTATGAATGTATTTTTGCCTACATGTGTGTAAGTGCACTTGTGTCATGCAATGCCCGTAGAGATCAGAAGAGGGTGTTGGATCCCTTGGAACTGGAGTTACAGAGGGTTGTTATCCACCATGTGGGTGCTGGGAATTGAACTTAGGTCCTCTACAAGAGCAATCAGTGCTCTTAACTGCTGAGACATTTCTCTAGCCCCCTTCAAAATATTTTTGAAGCAACAGACTCTTTTGTTATGTGAAATGTCCTGCAGATGACCACCTGGAGTTGGATACATCTGAGTCAGAGATACAAAGTCACAGTACAGGATGAAGTTGAACATGTGAGTCTAGAACCTTGGAGAGAAAGTGGAGGTGGAAATGGGTTTGGGGTACATTTAAACCCGTAGGACCATGTGAGGTTACTAAGGGAGTAAGTGAAGGGAAGGACACTCCAGCATTAAGCAGAAAGAGTAGCTTGGAGAACGAGAAGCACTAGACAGAGGGGTCTCTGTGGCCTACTAACACCTATCCAGGAGAGTGTGCTCAGCTCTGTCTGCTGCTAAGAGGCTCAGCAACGGAGGGCCAAGAACAAATCACTGGATTTTGTACAAATCAGGAATTAAGAACCAAGACTAGCTAGCTTTCTCTGCCCAACATCTAGACCTCACAAATTACAGAAAGGATCACAGGGAGAGAGTGTTCGACCTGAGGTCACCCAGCAAGGTAAGCATAACTAGGCTTCTACCCCAATCCCCCGGTACCTTAAAGGGTGGTCTTTACCTGCCTAATATCAGCCTTTTCCCTCAGGCCACAAGCTGGACCTTCAGGTCTCAGTTTCTTACTGGTAATCCCCCTGCAGAGGATTACCAAGTACCCCCTCCTGCTGCAGAAAATCCTGGAAAACACACTCCCCAATGCCAGTGCCTACCCCATCCTTCAAAGGGCTATGTCTGCCCTCCAGGGCGTGAACAGCAACATCAATGAGTACAAGATGCGCAAGGAAGTGGGTAAGAACTTGGGTGTTTGGGGGACATCACGGGGAATGCTTCCAGTTCCAAAGCTCAGCTCATGCTGGCTTTGCCTAAAGTGAAAATGTGGGGCTGGGGATGGAGTTCAGCTGATGGAGTGCTCACCTAATGTGACTAAGGCCCTGGGTTTGATCCCCAGCACTGCTGGCAAGAGATAGATGTGAGGGTGGGGTTGCTGCAGTCAAAAGTTGTGCAGAATGAAGTGTCCAAGTATCAAGAAATGGCTGCTCATCAAGGGCATGGCAACAAAAATTTAGCTCGTTTACTTTCTAAATAATTGCTTCAGTTGCACAAGTGTGAGGTAGAGTGTCATAATTCAGTACACTCGTAGAATGGATGATGATCAAATGGGGTGGTGATTAGCAGATGTTTTTTGAGGCCTAACTCTGCTATATTTTTCTGTCAATATGTTAAAAATTTTTAATTACTTTTATTTACTTGAGTGTTTTGCTGCATGTATGCAAGTGCACCTTGTGTGCACAATGCCCAAAGAGGGCAGAAGAAGGCATCAGATTCCCTGGAACTAGAGTTGCAGACATTTTTAGTCATCATGTGGGTGCTGGGAATCAAACCCAGGTCCTCTACAAGAGTAGGCAGTGTTCTTAAACCCTGAGCCATCTTTCCTGGCTTGCCTTCCCTGTCAATATCTTATTCGATCCCTGTAACCTCTAAGGTTGGCCCTGTCAGTCCCACTTCCCGGTTGGGTAAATGAGTGTGTATGATTTGTTTCTGGTCACAGAGCTAGTAAGGAACAGAGTTAGGTTTCAAACTCAAGCCTTGGATTTCCCCCCACCCATGAGACACACATTTGTTTCTCCAAATGGAGTTCACAGAGGATGGAAGCCCTGAGCCAGTAGTAGGGAGGGTAGCTCCTGGTTGACCTTGATTAAACTGCCTGTGGGCTCCTAAGCAAATGTTCTTTTGCTGGGTCCTTCTTTAGGAGTCCTGACACACCTGCTGTCTTATGTGATCCTCCCAGCAATCCTGCAAAGTGGCAACCTCATTTCACAGAGAAGGAAACTGAGGCCCCCAAGTAGTAGTGACTTTTCAAAGTCCAGCAAGCAGGATACTCCTTAACCTGGGCTGATATCTGGAAGAGAAGACTCTCAGTTCTGGGTTTCTCTGTGCAACTTGCTGTTCAACCAGATGTGACCTGATAGAGGACAGTGCCCAGTCAGATGAAGGTGGGATGCTGCTTTTCCGGGTCAGCCTTGCTTGCCCACAGTGTTCTCCTCTTCTGTGTTACTGCAGCCTCAAAATACACCAAGGTAGAGCAGCTGAGCCTCCGGGAGCGGCTAGCCCGCATCAACACACATACTCTGTCAAAGAAGACCACCAGGCTAAGCCAGCTATTGAAGCAGGAGGCGGGGCTGGTACCCAGAGTGAGTATGTGAGGGGTGGGAAGAGTCACCCACCAGCCCCAGGGACCACATCAGGTATGGGGATGGGGGCAGCATGAGGTTCCTTTGAAAAGTGAGCCAGCAGGGCATGATGGGCATATGCCTTTAATTCCAGAACTTAGGAGGCAGTGGCAGGTGGGTCTCTGTGAGTTTGAGGCCAGCCTGATCTACATTATTGTGTTTCAGGCCAGCAAGGCTACATAGTGAGATTGTGTTTTGTAAAAAAAAGGTGGGACAGCTGAGACTGAGAGTGAGGGTCCACCTGATTCTCAAGAGCCAGTTCGAAGAATTCTTTGTCAGTAGGAGAGCTGAGCTATGGGCTTGGGTAAAGAACCAGCCCTGGACAGTTCCTAGCAGCAGCCTAGGATGGGTGAGCGCGTCCACTGAAGCAGCAACATTTGATCGAGAGTTAAGGAGGTGTTCTTATCATCTTGTTTTCACACAAGGAAGAAACACCTGCCTATAGCCATCCAGCTAGGAAGCAAATGAGCCAGTACATGCTCCAGTGTCTGATACCACAGTCTGAATGCAAAACCACCCAACCACACTGTCATTTGTTTATTTTTGAAACAAGGTCTTACTGTGCAGCCCAGGTTTTCCTTGAACTCACAATCCTCCTGCCTCAGCCTTCTAGGGGTTGGGCTTACAGGCATGTGCTACCACATATAGTTTACACTGCCTTTCAATGGTCCCACTCAGCCATGGAGCTGGAGGAAGCAGCTCTATCAGTGGGTGTTTGGAAAGCTTGTCATCAGTGAGAACCTGGGACGGGGAACCAGTTGCACACTGCCCCCGTGTGGATCTTCTTGACCTTTACACGCATGGCTTTACTTACAGACCGAAGACAAGGATTTTAATGATTTAGAGGAGAAATTCCAGTGGGTGTCTCTGTGTGTGACTGAGCTGAAGAGTAACGTGGCTGCTTATTTGGATAATCTGGAGGTGAGGACCCTGCAGAGTGAGCACTGTGTAGTCTGGGTTGGCAGTTAAGTAAACAAGCTACAGAAATATTAGGGACTCTGTGGGTTAGACGTCCATCAGGAGTGCTGGCAAGCCACTGCATCTCATGGGCACAAAACCGGGGACTCAGGGCAGCTTCTTAGCCCATCAGGTTTCTCACAGGTAAGGTAAAAAATCACTGCCCCAGAGGGATAGCACCTAGAGCAGGGGAGACACACACAGAGGCCACACAGGGAGAGGGCTGAGGGAGGACATGGGCAAGATGTGGTGATCAGAGCCTGACGTCTAGCAAGATGTTTGTGGTCGACTTCATTTGGATGAGAAAGTGAAAGAGAAAAGCGGCCCTTATTCAGTCCTTGGGAATTGTTGGTCTGGGGAATGATGACTCAAAGAAGCCAGTTCTGATTTGGGGAGAAGGGGGGCTCTGGAAAAGCAGATTTTAGATGAATTCTCATGTCTACCAATGTAGACAATTAATTAAATAAGAATTGCAATGATATATAGGCCAAAGAAGGTCTATTTCTTCAAGCCAGATTCAGCCTACAAGGCTGCCAGTATGTATGCCCACCTGCTTTCCTTGACCAGAATCCCAGGTCTTCCTGTCAGTGCTCCATCCCCTCTGGCCCTCAGTGGCATGCTTTCAGTCAACTCCATCTGTACAAAGCAGCTGAAAAGAAGGAAAAGGTGGTTCCATGTTCCCCTGTGTGGGTGCTGGGTGCCCCTGCTTATTCATGCCCCACCTGGGGGGCCCAGTTGAGAGATCTGAAGAGCTAGGATTCCATTATATCACAGTGAGCCGGAAGAGCCAAGGCCTGGGAAAAGAGGAAGGGATTGGACCTTAAGGGAGAGAAACTGGAGGGCCATGTGAGTAGGATGGATGTGGGAAGCGTTATGATCCTACTTGGTCCTACGTGGAATCCCATAGTGAGGAGGGGATCCCTACCTCTAGCCCTCTGACTGGATTGAAAAGCCCCTGCTGGTATGCCTTGAATGCATGCAAATGGACTCGTGGGTGGGGGCTCTTCAGCAGACAGTGCTGCCCAGAAAGAACTGAGCAATCTTATTTTGTTTTTATAGCAATTATGTTCATGTACCTGTCTATGTGAATTGTGACTGGGTTTCCTGTTATGGTAGCATTGTAAGAGTTTTCCTTTTCTTTTTTTCTTACATTAATTTAGTGTGTGTGTGTGTGTGTGTGTGTGTGTGTGTGTGTGTGTGTGTGTGTGTGGGGTGGGGGTGCACACCCTTGTGCATATGGAG